TGTTGTTGTTAGGTGCCATCAAATCAACTAATATCCAAAGGAATCCTACGAACAACAGAGGTGAACCTTGTCCTATCCTGTGCCGTACTCACCATCTGTGATATGCTCCAGCCCATTTTTATAGTACTGCGTCAATCCATATCTTGTTGAAGGTTTTTCTCTAACCCTCCTTCTTTCCCAGTATGATATCCTTTTCCAAGGACAGGCTCATCCTGAGAAAGGCATTGATTCCTCTGTCATCCTTATTCTTTGTCCACCTTTGAGATGCATAGCAAGTAATTGTAAAGACTATGGCTTAGATCAGGTGCACATTAGCCTTTAAATTGACATCTTGCCTTTCAGCACTTTGGAGAGGTCCTTGACAGCAGATTTCCACAATGCAACACACCTTTTCATTATTTGACTGTACAATGAATAAGGATGACAGAAGAATTGATGCCTTTCAGTTGTGGTGCTACAGAAAAGCACTGGGTTGGAAAATTGCAGCCAGAGTACTCCTTGAAGGCAAAGAGGGTGAAGCTTCATCTTTCATACTTTGGACATGTAGCTAGGTGAATCTATTCCTTGGAAAGGAGTATCATGCTTGGAATGATGAAGAGTCAGCAAAGAAGATCTCTAATGTGATGGATTGACATGGTGACTTCAGCAACAGGATAAAGTGTGTCAGAGGAAAGAGCAGGATAGGTCAGAGTTCAGATTGGCTGTTCATAGGGTGGCTGTGAGCCACACTCAAGGGCGCTTGACAGCAACAGTGACAATAATCGTGGGTGTTGATTGTGGATGCAAGTAAAAATGAAATCTTTGACAACTCTAATCTTTTCTTCATCCATCATGATGTTGCCTGGAAACCTGATGGTGAGAATTTTTGTCTTTTTTACATCAAGATGTAATCCACGTTGTGGGCTATAGCCTTTGACCTTCTGCAGCAAATGCTTCAAATCCTCTTCACTTTCAGGAAGCAATTCGTATCATCTGCATAATGCAGGTTGTTGATGAGTCTTCCTTTAATCCTGATTCCACATTCTTCTTCAGAGTCGAGCTTCTGGAATGATTTGCTCAGAGTACAGATTGAAGAGATATGGAGAAATGTTACAACCTCGATGTACACATTTCTTGGTTGTATTTAGTAGTATCTGTCAAGTCTAAAAAGACTTTAGCTCAGGTAGTGCAAACAGTTAAATACTTGATTCTTAACTGAAAGATTGGTGCCTAAAACCTATTTGTAGGCACCTTGAAAGAAAGATCTGACAGGCTACTTCCAAATGGCCACAGCCCTGAAAACCCTACCCCAGTTCAGTTTTATGCTGCACAGATGGGGTCACCATGAGTCCCCATTGATTTGATGGCAACCAGATAGGCATTTTCTTTTTTTGAGGTGGAAGAAGGGAATCTAAATAAATAGGATTTCTCATAGTTTTCTTTGTGTTTTTGCTAATTTATTTTCCTAGAAGCAAGATCCCTCTAACTTGTTTTGCTAAATGTACTTTCCTCATACAGAGCAAAGATGAAAACTTTAGTGGTTCTATTCTGCACAATACTTCCACTTTAAATGTCTGTTAAAATTTTAAAGACAAGAAAGATAATGCCTGGTTTTTAAATTTTGTTTCTGAAAGATCCGTTCCTTTCATAGTTTGTAATGAAAGGATTAAGCCTGTAAGTAATTCTTTGCGAGGAAAAACCACGAGGCAAATTACTTCAGTGATTCCTGAGTTTGCTTTTGATTATTTTCTATAAAATCACACTTTTACATTCTCCTTTTAAAGATTTTTTAAATACCCTCTTAAGACTGTGAGGTGGCTTCTGCTAACTAGTGTACTGTGATTTATTATATAAATTGGAATAAAGTTGTTTCTGCAGAGTTAGACAAAAGAGCAGCCTGCCTAAAAGTGCAATTTTCAGCTTGAGAGTTCATAATGCTCACCTGGGAAGCTGGCAAAATTCTCTATTTCTGTCCTCATCAGATCTACTAGGAACCTAAAGACGTAGAACCCAAGCACACCAGGGATCCTCATACTGATGGTCTCAGGGAAATGCTTAGAGCATCACTGCCTTTAATAATAAAAGCATCAGCATCAGGAAAACATTGATGAACAAAAGAGGTCAGGGTGTACCGTAATGAACTTTCACTAGCCCAGAGTTGAAACTGAGGGCTTTTTAGCTCCTTACTCATCAAAACCTTGATGGTCGAGCTAATGTGCTCCCTGTGTTGTGGTAGATAGGGAGATTCCAAACGTTCAGCCAAAGTGTAAAGATCAACAAACCTCTTTATTACACATTGTTGGAACATCAGCTAATGCTTAAACTGCTCTGATCATGAGGGGAAGCAAAGCTTGGGTATTTATACAGAGATTGGGCATGGGGGTGTTACACAGAGTTCCTTGCAGTTGATAGGTTGCAGGTGTTGTAGTTCCTTGTTCTTTGAGGTTTGGGGAATTGCTTCTAGGCATTGGGTCAGGATCAGGATGTAGGGGTCAAGCTGGAGTCGACCTGTACTATAACACGAAAGCTCAGTAAAACATATTATTGCTAAAATTATTGAGGCATACATTTCCTAAAATAGCTGTCTGAACAACATGGCTTTCCCACTGCTAACAAACTGTGGCTGACTCTGAGAAGAATGGGAATCCCAGAACATTTGATTGTGCTTATGCAAACCATATACTTGGACCAGAAGGCAGTCATCAGAACAGAGTAAGGAAACACTTCATGGTTCAAAATTGGGAAGGTTCTACTGCTACTACACCTAAAATAGCCACAGATGTATCCTGTCTCCATACCTTTTCAATCTACATGCAGAACAGGTTATCCATGAGGCTGGGCTCTATAAGGAGAAATGTGGAATAAGGACTGGAGGACGACTCATCAACAATCTGCATTATGCAGATGACACAACCCTGCTTGCTGAACCTGAGGAGGACCTGAAGCACTTGCTACAAAAGGTCAAGGACTGCAGCCTTCAATATGAATTGAAGCTCAACATCAAGATAACAAAGATTCTCACCACTGGGCCGATTGGCTGCATCATGATAGTTGGTGAAGATATTGAGATTGTTAACAACTTCAGTTTGCTTGGCTCCACAATCAACACTCTTGGTACCAGCAGCCAGGAAATTAAGACTAATTGCATTGGGAAATTCTGCTATCAGAGACCTCTCCAAAGTACTAAAGAGCAATGATATAAGTCTGAAGACTAAGGTGCACTTGATATGGGCCATAGTCTTCGCTATTGCTTGCTATGCATCAGAAAGCTGGACAATGACTAGGGATAATAGAAGGAGAATGGATGCCTTTGGGCTGTGGTGCTGGAGAAAAATATTAAATAGACCATAGACTGTAGGAGAACAAACAGATTTGTCCTAGAGACAGTGAGAACAGGATGCTCCTTGAAGGCAAGAATTCTGAAGCTTCGTCTCAAATACTTTGGACATGTTGTAAGGAGGGACTAGTCCTTGGAGAGAGATATCATGCTTGGGAGAGTGGAGGGACAGCGCAGGAAAGGAAGACCCTCAATGAGATGGATTGATTCAGTGACTACGGTAATGGGGGTAGGTGTGTCAGAGACAAGATTTGCACAGGATAGAGCAGGGTTTAGGACTGTTGTACACATAGGGTCACCATGAGTCATGGGTGACTCGATGGTACATAACAACTGCTAACATAAAAAACGGCTTCTCAGTTGCAAATATAAGCTGCTACTACACCTAAAATAGCAAAATAGCCTCGTTTTCTTTTCTTTTCCCCCCCATTCTTCTTGAGGGTCAGCTAGAATGTCAACAAGGCCCACATACTCAAGGGCTGCTACTCATCAGATGATTGCAAACGTTCTAGAATGGTGAGAGTGGTACAATTTCCATTTAATGAGTTGTTGTTGTTGTTGTTGTTGTTATGTGCCGTCGAGTCGTTTGCGACTCATAGCGACCCTATGCTCAACAGCCCTAAACCCTGCTCTATCCTGCGCCAACCGCACCACCTCTGACACACCCATCCCGATTACCCCAGTCACCCAATCAATCCATCTCATAGAGGGTCTTCCCCTCCTGCGCTGTCCCTCCACCCTCCCAAGCATGATGTCCCTCTCCAAGGACCCGCCCCTCCTAGCAACATGTCCAAAGTATGTCAGACGAAGCCCCAGAATCCTTGCCTCCAAGGAGTAGCTTGGTTTAATCCTCTCCAAGATGAATCTGTTTGTTTTCCTGGCAGTCCATGGTACATTCAGTACCCTTCTCCAGCACCACAGCTCAAAAGCATCCACTCTCCTTCTGTCCTCCCTAGTCATTGTCCAACTCTCTGATGCATAACAAGCGATTGCAAATACCATGGCCTGTATCAGGCGCACCTTAGTCTCCAGAGAGACACTGTTGTTCCTGAGTACTTTAGAGAGGTCCCTAACAGCAGACTTTCCCATCGCGATATGCTTTTTTATTTCCTGACTGCTGGTGCCAAGAGTGTTGACTGTGGAGCCGAGCAAACTGAAGCTGTGAACACTCTCAGTAAAATAAATTCTTTAAGTTATCATCCTTCTAAGATGCACTGTGCTTATTTACTTATTTATACCCCAAAATTTATTCCAATAATTAAGGAGCCAGGGCTGACTTGGCATCTTCACAAGATTAAATCTTTATTGTGCTTTTTCCCCCAGTGAAAGGGTATGTCACTTTCATCAGATTCTTCAAGAGTTTAGGACCACTAAAGAGTTAAGAAGTACAGGTTTTAAGTTGAGCATAATCCTTGAATTCCCCTAATCCTCAGTATGATATGTTGGCAGACAGTGATGGACCATGACAGAGGAGAAGGAAGCATGGTGGTGCCTGTTCTCCAGGGATGAGGGATGGTAATTGAGCACCACTGCCTCTCCTGGGGGGAACTAACTTCTTCTTCTTTTTTTTTTTTTTTTGCAGTGTTAGGGGGGTAAACTAACATTTTTAAGGAGGGCTACTGTGCATGCCCTCAGTTGATGTGTGGAAATAAACATCCAATCAACCCACAGAAACAAGTTTACTATGCAAGACACAGGTGAGTATCTGGGCATATGATTACTGAGAAAGTTAAGGATGAAGTATTCATCTTGGAATTGGACTCCCAGAGGGAAGAAAACAAAGAGAAGCTCTTGTGCAAGGCACAATCCCTTAAACTCCCAATTTACATAAATAATTCTATCCTACTGTTTTGTAATTGTACTGTATTGTAATTCTATCCTATTTTGTAATCCTGAAGGAATAATGCAGAATAAATTTATATCTTTTATTCAAACTGTGAGATCATGTCTTCCCTTGCTCACCTGCAGCAGGAGTATGGATATTACCGAGGGAGGAACACTGAATTAGTTTTCTGCCCTGTTTCCTCTTTTCCTCCTTGATATTTCACTATTCTGTAATTCTCTTCTCAGGCAAAGTCTATTTTTCTTGTTAACATTTTTAATATAAAAACATTCTTCATGTAGCCACATGACAGATAAGATATGACTTTATTGCAAAGATGAACAATTACACAGGCAAAGGCTGTAGAAATTTATTTTTGCTGTTAAAGTATTTATAGAGAACGTTTTGTTGTACTTTATAAGACTCGACTGGTTTAGTGGTAGAATTCTTGCCCTCCATGCAGGAGATTTGGGGTTGATTCTCAGCCAGTGCATAGCTTGAGCAGCCACTATCCACCTGTCATCAGTCACTGTTTGCATATCACCATGCTAATGAACAGCTTCTAGCAGAGCCTACAGACTAGAAGGAAAGGCCTGGAAATCTTTCTGAAAACTAGCCACTGACAACCCCGTAGTTCAAACTGTTCCAGTATACAACCAACCTTTTTGTTCCACTTCGAATAGGTAAGTCAAGGGCTAACACAACAGCAGCCAACTATACAGTGTTTATAACAGCTGCTACAGAAGTGATGTGTCTCAATGATATTAATTAAATACTAGCTTTTCCCTAGTGGCTCTAGTGAATAGAATTACAGAGGAGAGAAAGTTTGGCATCATTTGCCATATGAGAGGATAAGATTTTGAATCAATAATGCACCCAGAGCTGTTTATAAAAAATCACACAGAACAGTAACCAGTAATTGTTGTTATTGTTGATGATGATTGTCACTGAGCAGAGCAGAACTCACAGCAACCCTATGAACAAAAGGCCTGAAGCCCTTCTATTGAAGTCCTGAGGTTACACACACACTGAAACCCTGGATAATGTGCTTCACTCTTTCAGATGCAGCTGCTTTGATTTCTACCATCAGTTCAATGTCATTCACAAACTACAGTTCATAGGAAATTGACAAGGATAGGTGAGGTCATGTCTGAACCATGCAATGAACTCATTTGAAGACAGGCTCTGTATAATTAAAAGTGTAGCTTTTATTTCAAAAAGACTTCTCTTCATTTTACCAGGTGGCAGCGTGCTTAATAACAACCTGGACTGTGATTCTACACTAGAAGACCACAGAAATGACAAAGTCAGCATTAGAATTCACCCATTGTGTTCGGAGTCAATGTGAGGCTGTAGGGAATGCCTCTGAATTACCATTGTCTATATGTTGTACCTGAATTACCTACAATACAAATAAAATACCTACAGAAGGACTCTGCTACATGGCATATAACCATTTTGTTTATTTTCTTCTGCTTTTTTCTAGATTTAAGTAGTTTAATTTCTTTGCTAGGAACATCAACATATCTGAGTATATTCCTAAATTGTCTGTCTTCAAATCTCCAAACATTTGTCTTCCAGGTACAAAACTTTTTTTTTCTTTCGTAAAAAAAGAAGGGGATGCTGATAGTTCCAGGAAAAATATAACAAGTATCGATGACCATGTGCTATGAAACGAGATTAGTCTAACACTTTTGTTGGAATACGTCAAAGCTTGCATAACTATGAAGGACAAGGAGAGGGTATCTCAATGTTGAAGCAAGGCAGAGGGTCAGAGAACAGACATATCATGCAAGTGTCTATGTGTGCATGGTGTGCAAGTGATCAGGTCTGTGCACAGGGGAGTAAGCATGCAAGAATGAACATGGCATGCCTAGGTGGGTTGGGCGAACATGTGTGGGATGCGTGTATATGGAGTTTGAACTTTTGTGTGCACAATTGAGTTATGTCTGTGTGTACAGGTGAGCATGTGTATTCACATGAGTGTGTATACACGTGAATGTGTGCAAATAAGTGTGTGTGTGTGTGTGTGTGTGTGTGTGTGTGTTTATAGAGACTTAGGGTTTCCAGTCACTCATTGTTGCACTTTTCTTGTTGCTCTTCTCCAATTCACTCTTCTCCTTGAAAAGTAAAACTCTTTTATTGTTATGTAATTCCTCCCTCCCAGTCCACTCCAATATGCAGCCTTCATTCTGGACTTCTGTAATGACAATAATACTCAATCATATATCCCTTTCAAACAGTTCTCTCCCTCATCTGTTTCAATGCAGTATACACCATTCCTCCCCTCCTTTTCTATCTTCTTTTAACCCAGATGCCAGTACCATGTTACAACAGTGGCTCTATGCAATATTTGTCCTTTTGTTCCTGAGATATTTCACTCAGCATAATTTCCTTCAGGATCATACATTTTGCATAATATATCATGAGTTCCTTGTTTTTCAATGCAGTGTAGTATTCTATTGTGTGAATATACCAGAGCTTCTCTATCCATTTGTTTGTTGATGGGCACTTGGGTTGTTTCCAACTCTTGGTTATTGCGAACAAAGCCACAATAAACATGGGTGTGCATATATCTGCTTGGGTAGCAGTTATGATTTCTTTAGGGTAAATGCCCAGTAGAGGAATTGCTGGGTCAAATGGTATTTCTATTTGCAACTTTTTGAGAAAGTACCATACTGCCTTCCATAGTGGTTGCACCATTTTAAACTACCCCCAACAGTGAATAAGGGTTCCAGTTTCTCCACAACCTAGCCAGAATTTGTTGCTTGCTGTTCTGTTAAATTTTGCTATTCTTACTGGGGTGAGATGATATCTCATAGTTGTTTTGATTTGCATCTCTCTTAGAGCTAGGGATTTTGAACATTTCTTCATGTGTTTGTTTGCCATCTGAATGTCCTCTTTGGTGAAGTGTCTGTTCATATCCTGTGCCCATTTTTCAATTGGGTTATTTACCTTTATCTTGTTGTAGTACTGGCTTGATTTTCTGAACAAATTTCAAAGATTAATTAGTTGTTTACCTGACTATATTTGGATGTTTTGATTGAGATGCCATTTCAAATGGACTTCAGCAGGGTCTATGGGCTCAGTTCTCATCGTCTTCATTCAGATAACACCTTTAAGAGCTGAGGATATTTCCTCATTGTATCCCTGTCATGGTGAACATAGAACTACCAGAAAAGCAAGCTGGGTTTAAAAGAGGTCCGTGGCACTAAGGACATCATTGCCAATGTCAGATGGATCTTGGCTGAAAGCAGAGAGTATCAGAGGAGCATCTATTTGTGTTTTATTGACTAGGCAAAGGCATTTGACTGTGTGGATCACAACAAATTGTGGCTAATCTTGAGAAGAATGGAAATCCCAGAACACTTGATTGTGTTCATATGTAACCTTTATGTGGACCAGGAAGCAGTGACCAGAACAGAGCAAGGAAACACTGCATGGTTCAAAATCAATAAAGGAGTGCCTCAGGGATGCTTCCTGTCCCTATACTTTATCAATCTATATTCAGAACAGATCATTCAGGACACTGGACTTTATGAGGAGGAATGTGGCATCAAAATTGGAGGAAGACTCATCAAAAATCTGCATTATGTAGATGACACAACCTTACTTTGCCAAAACTGAGGTGGACCTGAGGTGTTTGCTGCAGAAGGTCAAGGACTGAAATCTTCAATATAGACTGAAGGTCAACATTAAAAACAAAACAAAAAATCACACCACCAAAAATTCTCACTACTGGGCCAATTGGCAGCACCATGATAGATAGAGAAAAGATTGAGATTGTTGACAATTTCAGCTTTCTTAGCTCCACAATCAACAGTCTTGGCCCCAACAGTCAGGAAATAAAAAATTTAATTGCATTCAGAAAATGTGTTGGCAGGGACCTCTCCAGAGTGTTGAAGAGCAACAAGGTCAGTCTAGAGACTAAGGTACACCTGATCTAGGCCATGGTCTTTGCAATTACTTGCTATGCATCAGAGAACTAGACAGTGATCAAGGATGACAGAAGAAGAATCGATGCCTTTGAGTTATGAAGCTGGAGAAGAGTAACGAGAATACCATGCACTTCCAAGACAACAAATAGGCCTGTCCTGGAGAGGGTAAAGGATTTTGAAACTCTGTCTCACATAACTTTGAGCATGTTGCCAGCAGGGGCCAGTCCTTTGAGAAGGACCAGTCCTTTGAGAAGGACGTCATGTGAGGAAGGGTGGGAGAACAGCACAGGAGGGATGACAAGTGACTCAACAAGCCTGGATAAAATGGATTGACACAGTAACTGGTATAATAGGAGTAGGAATGTCTAAAAGAGTGAGATCGGCTCAAGATGGAGCAGAGTTCAGAGCTATTGTACATAGGGTCCCTAGGAAATTGACTTGATGGCACATAACAACAACAATAACAACAATGAACTACAGTCCCACCACCTTTTAAAGCATCATCTTCCCTGAAGAATGAAACAGTTGGGAAATGTTAGAGAAGACTATAGCAAAGGCTTTGTCAGAGGGGGCTCTAACCTGGGACAAGAAGGGAGAAAGGATTAAAAGAAGCTGAGAAATGGAGACAAGGCATTAGGAGGTGAGAACTGTGTGAGAAGTGAGCATATGAGATGTGGGACAAGGGAAGGCCTGTTTCAGGAAGGCAAAGGAGGCAAGTCTGGAGCAAAGAGCAGGCTCATAGAGCCTGGGTCCCAGAAACATGCCTTCTGCTTTCTCCTGTAAAACTCCTTTCTACCACTCCCATTTTCCACAGCAGCCTGGCCTTGTCTACACCTGTGTCTTCTCAGTCTAAGTCAAAGGCAGGAATAATTAATAGTCCACAAAGACTGCAGGGGATTTGGGAGTTATCAATATCACAGAGATGATAGAAAATTCAGGAAGGAGTTGTCGTCAGTTACAACCTCTGGCAGGTGTCTCTTGCCACGTTTTACTTCTTGAAGGTAATTATTTGAGCTTCTTATAAGGTTGCAGTTTCTTCTCTTTGGTCTTTAAGCATAGCTTAATTAAAACAGCAGTACCTCATTCCATGTTGCATTGCTCTTGAGACGAGTATGCATCTGCTAGGCAAACTAAAAATCATCACTGATAGACTCGTTCAGTAGACTGTCATCTGGATTCTCACGTGGCCTGTCTGTCACATTAACCAAGAGAAGCCCACTGAGATCATTAATATAGATCCTGCCTGGAGACAACCTGACAGCCTCTTCCTATATTTAAACCACCACCACCACATGATTCCCAAGCCTCCACTGTTCTATCTTCAGTCATCACAGAGGAGGCATGATAGAAAAATTATGTTTTTGTAACTGCATTCATTTGAAGGGTTTGCTTTTGGAAAATTCCTTGGCAGACTGTGGTCAGTAAAATGCACAGACTGTTAGTCTGTCAGCCTCTGGGCTTGTCAGAGATAACTAATGGCTTCAGCAGCAGCTGGTAGGTAGCACGCCAGCAGAGGGAAATGCTGGACTTGGCTGCACGTTCTCTTCTCACTCCAAGGTTCCTGTGCAGTTAGGGCCCAAGACTAATTTCTAAGCGGAGGACCAGGAGGTGCCACGTTGTGGGGGTAATGAGAAGAGGGTTCTGCATTGTTTATAGTTCATTTGTAAACGTTTGTGCAGAGAGAAAGCACTGATTGTCTACAGTGACCTCTCCAAATACTTTTAGAGAGTTTCTTTCCTTGTGGTTTTGTTACTCTCATTGTCCCTTCGACTCAAACACCGCCCACCCCACTGAACAGCAGGGTTCTTCCTGAGGGCCCCATTTCAGACAACAAGAGATGGAGATCAAAAAAGCATGAGAGGAGGATGCTACCAATGAAACACTGCTACTCAAGGAGTTCAGAGTCGCCCAAAGCTTGGGCAGCCCTGCTACGTCCCATACACATGTGCTTCTGGTGGGAGCAGAAGGAAGGGGAAGCACAGAGGAAGGAGGGCACCCTTAATCTCTGGCCAGATTCTGAAGCTCTTCTTCAAAGATATGGAGTTTTTAGTAGTGGGTGAGCCACACAGCATATGATTATAAGAAGTTTTGAAAGCATTCATTTCAGTATCTGCATGTGAAGTTAGTTATAAAGTTGCATTGTTTTGAGCAAATTTTGAGTCCCTGGTTGATACCAAAGGTTCCTGGGTGATTTATACTCAAACTACTAACTAAATATGGAAGAGATCCATTATTGTTCCCATCTCCAAGAAAGATGATCCAGCAGAATGTGAAAATTATGGAGCAATATTATTACTATCAAGTGTAAACAAAATATTGCTGAAGATCATCCCAAAATGTCCAGAACAGTATACTGAAGAGAACTGTTAGAAGTTCAAGCTGGATTTAAAAGAGGCTGTGACACCAGAGATATTGCTGATGTCAGAGAGATCCTAACTAAAAGCAGAGAATACCAGACAAATATCTATTTGTGTCTTATTGACTATGCAATAGCATTTGACTGTGGATCATAACAAACTATGGCTAACATTAAGAAGAATGGGAATCTCAGAACACTTAATTGTGCTCATACAAAATCTATGCCTCGACCAAGAAACTGATGTCTGAACAGAGCAATGGGTCACTGCATGGTTTAAAATCAGGGAGGGTATGCACCAGGATGTATCCTTTCTCCATACCTACTCAATCTAATTAATTGCTGAGCAAGTACCTATTCAATCTGAGCAAATAATTTGTAAAGCTCTGTGAAGAAGAATGTGGCATCAGGATTGGAGGAAGACCCATCGACCACCTGTGTTATGCGTATGACACAACCTTGCTTGCTAAAAGCGAGAAGGACTTGAAATGCTTTCTGCAGAATATCAAGGACGATAACCTTCAAATATGAATTGCATCTCAACATAGAGAAGGCAAAAATCCTCACCATTGGAACAACAGACAACATCGTGACAGATGGAGAAAGCATTGAAGTTGTCAGTAGTTTAATCTTGCTTTGATTAACATTCAATACCCTTGGTACTTGTAGTTAGGAGACACATTGCATTGGTCAAGTCTGCTGTCACAGATCTCTCCAAAATCCTGAAGAACAAAGATGTTTGTGTAAAGACTAAAGTGTACCTTATTCAAGCCATGGTCTTGATATGGTCAATCACTTGCTATGCATCTGAGATCTGGGCAATGACTAAGGATGATGGAAGAAGAATTGATACGTTTGAGTTGTGTTGTTGGAGAAGATACTGAATATCCCATGATCTGCCAAAAGAACAAGCAGCTATGTCTTGGGGAAAGTATAGCCAGAGTGCTCCTTATGGGTAAAGATAGCAAAGCTTTGTCTCATGTTTTGGGCATGTTGCTAGGAAAAGCTATTCCTTGGAAGGGGATATCATGCTTGGAAAAATAAAAGGTCAGTGAAAGAGTAAGACTCTCAATGAGGTGGTTAGCACTGTGACATCAGCAATTAGTTCAAATGTGTCAAACATGATGGAGGATGGCACAGGATAAAACAGGGCTCAGGTCTTTGTTCATAGAGTCACTATGAGTCATATTCAACTCATTGGCATCTAACAACAACAACAACTAATGAAAAGGTTGACAGGTCAACCTCACCCAGGAGAGTCATGGGAGAAAAGTCCCTCAAGTGAAACAAACCACTTCTAAAAAGACATACTTAATGGCATCACTGTAAGAAGAAGTCAAGAAAAGATTTATACACAGAAAGAAAACTTATTTGATGGTTGCATGGGAATGGAGAGTAAATAAATGAACTAGAAACTGGACTGTATGAAGAAACATGGGGCATTGGGCCTGAAGGAAGACTTATCAACAACCTGCATTACAAAGATAATATAACCTTGCAGAAAGTGACAATAAAGTCAAGTATTTATTAAAAAAGATAAAGACTACAGCCTTCAGTATCGATTATACCTCAATATCAAGAAAAAATGCTCACCACAGGCCCAATATACAGCATTACGATAAATGGAGAAAAGATTGAAGTTATCAATTATTTCATGTTACTTGGATCCACAATCAACACCCATGGAAGCAACAGTTAAGAAAATATCTGTCATGAATCAGGGTGAAGTCTCTCTCAGGGAGGAGTGATAGGGAATGGCAAAGGACACACTGACAAAGGAGATTAATCAGAACTGGCTTTGACAAGCACTGTGGCAATTGGACAATTAAAATAGACATTCGGGGGGGGCAAGAAGAACAAACTGGGGAGGAGGGTAGAGAAAACAGTGCAACAGTGAAGGAATGAAAACCCAAAATCCCTGTAAATGTTCATTAAAACTAATAAAATTTTTAAAAAAAGTAAAAAAAGAAAATATCTGTCACACTGAGTGAAACCTCTGCTAAAAACCTCTCCAACATGACAAAGAGCAAGGATATCAGACCAAAGTGCTGTTGCCCCAGTCCATGGTATTTCAATTGCTTCAAATGCTTATGAAAACTGGACAGTGAAAAAGAAATATAAAAGAAGAACTGATGTTTTTTTAAAAATTATTTTTTATTCATGTACCTTTTTTTCCCTGCTCCCTCTGTCCAACCACCAAACTCTTAGACCCCATAATTTTTCCCACCCTCAGTGCCCCTACCCCCTCCTCTTTGCTCTTTTTATATCCATAGACATATTACTGGTTATCCTTTTTTTCACAATAATGGTCTTATACAGTATTTGCTTTTATATGCCTTAGTTAGTTCACTCTCTAGCCTCTCCTGTAGTATACAGTATTTTAAAAACTGTTGCTCCTGAGTGCTACACAATATTCCATCATGTGAATATGCTACAATTTCTCAATCCATTCATTTATGGATGAATATTCTGACTCTTTTCATGTTCTTGCTATTTTGAATAATGCTGCTATGAACATTGGTGTACAAATCTCCATTTATACCTCAGTTCTGTTTTCTGTGGGGTTTATCTCTAGCAAGAGATATATAGCTGAATCATATGGCATCTCTATGTTCAACTTTTTGAGGCCACGCCAAACTGTCTTCCAGAGTGGTTATACTATTTTACAATGGACTATGGCTCAATGTCAAGAAAAGATTCTCACCACTGGACCAATTGGTAGCATCAGAATGGATGGCGAAGAGATTGAGATTGTTCACAGCTTTAGTTTCCTCGGCTCCACAGTCAACACTCTTGGCACCAGCAGCCAGAAAATTAAAAAATGTATTGCGATGGGAAAGTCTGCTGTTAGGGACCTCTCTAAAGTATTCAAGAGCAATGGTGTCTCTCTGGAGACTAAGGTGTGCCTGATACAGGCCATGGTCTTTGCAATCACTTGTTATGCATCAGAGAGTTGGACAATGACTAAGGAGGACAGAAGGAGAATTGATGCCTTTGAGCTGTGGTGCTGGAGAAGAGTACTGAATGTACCCTGGACTGCCAAGAAAACAAACAGATTCATCCTGGAGAGGGTTAAACCAGGCTACTCCGCGGAGGCAAGGATTCTGGGGCTTCGTCTGACATACTTTGGACATGTTGTAAGGAGAGACAGGTCCTTGGAGAGGGACATCATGCTTGGTAAGGTGGAGGGACAGCGCAGGAGGGGAAGACCGTCTATGAGGTGGATTGATTCAGTGACTGGGGTAATCGGGATGGGTGTGTCAGAGGCAATGCGATTGGCACAGGATAGACATAGGGTCACTACAATGACACATAACAACAACAACCAACAGTATATGAAAGTTCCAATCTCTCCCTACCCTCTTTCACAGGACAGCAAACAATGGACTGAGTCTTTTTGAATTCTGATCTTGAATTCTGGGTAAAGAGTACTGAGTAGGCCATGGACTGCCAAAAGAAAAGGAAAATCTGTCTTGAAAGAAATGAAGCCAGGGTGCTTTGAGTATGTTGTGTGGAGGCACCCAACCTTGGAAAAGGACATCATGCTTGAAAGTATAGATGGTCAGTGAAAGAAAAGGATGAAACTTTCAGCAAGATGGATTGATGAAGTAACTGCGAAAAATGTACTCTAGCACCAGAGATAGTTAGAATGGTGCAGAAGTAAGAGTTGCTATGAGTTTGAATTGATGAGACACCTAACAACAATACAGCATATGAGTAAATGAACTCAGTCTTCAAAGGACATATAACACACAAGACTATTGTAGAAATAGAAAGATAACTAGTAAAATGTGTATGAGGGTATAAGGTGGGAGGGAAGGCACAAAGAGGTAGGATGGGGAGAGGGGAATTCATAGGGCCGTGCTATTTTTTGGGTGGAGGGAGGGGTGGGAGAAAATAGAAAATCTGGCGGGGGTCTGGAAAGGCAGGGCAACTGTAGGCATAGTTCAATGTTGATTAATTTTGTAAAAGATAATGAAATGATTGTATGAAACATAATGTGAATGAAGGATAGTGTGAAACACAATGTATATGAACTTTGTAAGCAAACCAATATGAAATAAAACTTTTTTTTTCATTAAAAATCTACCCCACAATGTAGACACACAGTAACTTGGGTAAAGGGAAAGGTATTGTACAGTTAGAGGGAGTCAACACAAAATGCCCAAGGCAAAGGAAGACACTGAAAGATACATAAGAGTAACAGACAAAAAAGGTAAATACCATTACAGTAATAGGTAACTGTATGCTACAAGTGGATATAAGGAGAAAAATATGCAAGCTGAAACAATGTGGGAACACAAATGAGACTAAGCTCACAAGGTCTGACAGAGGCTATTTCTACACCTATATTTGTAGCAAATATATCTACATATATATTAAAGCAAACTGGGCAATGTTATAAAAACCTCTTCGATTCAACCAAACACCTTGAGAGTAGTCAGTTATGAAGTAAACTCTCTGTTACTTTCTATTATGACTGGAACTCTGGGGCTGTGTTCATTATCAGACTGAAGCTTGTGGAAGAGAAAGTGTGAAATAGCCTCCAGCACTCTCAGTAGCTGCTTCCAAGAGGAGAGGCTGTCCTTGAAGCATTTGGCTGTTGCTCTTCACAAGTGACCTCTTTATAAAGTGGAGACTTTAAGAAAGTAGGCGAATCTCCCACCTCCCTCCCTTCTCCTCCCACTTCAGAGAGTCTGCTCTGGAATCCTCTCCACAGGGATGAAGCAAGACCTCAAGTCCCACCCATAACATTATTTTATCTCCTTCTCCTCCTTTGGCCCTTTTTACAAAATTCTGTTCACGACAAATGTGTGGTTTTGAAACCACTGATGTTCTGTTTGATATTCTACACTTTAGCAATTTTTTTTCTCACACAAAAATGTAATAGCCAAGTGGAAGCAAAGAGTTTATCAAATTGGTCCCCAGCTTCCAGCTAAAGTGGAACTTCCTTCTTGCCACAGTGAGCAAAGCCATGACCCTCTGCCACAGGGGAGAGTTTCAGTAAGTCTGAGATGCAAAGACCTTTGTGTGCTTGTATTCTACACGTTGAAGATATTACTATAGCATAAGCCTTTTCCAAACGGCATGTAGAATCTGTAGTTATTGGTTTTTAATATTTTAATATAAAATAGATACAGAAAATAAGAGTAGTAATTTTCTTCAATGGCATCATAGTAGTCTAGCAAACAAAGGAAACATGCTGCCCTCACACATCCCATCATTACTGGACGTAGAGGAAGTTTCTCCTTATTTTTTCATTACGTTCATTCTTTGTGACATTTTAAACAAAGCACCAAGGAACACAACAAATATGGGGCGGGGGAACAAATGCAAGTAGAGTGCTCCACAAATTTTGGGCATGTTGTCAAGAGGTTCCTTGGAGAAAGACATCGTGCTGACAAAGGTCAGAGAAAGAGAGGGAGACCCCCAATGAGATGAACTGATAAGTGACTGTAACAATGGGCTTGAACATATCAGAGGCGAGAGGATGGCACAGGATAGGACAAGGTTCTGATCTGTTGTTCATAGGGTCACTGTCAGCTGTAGTCAAATCAATGGCACATACTAACAAGTTTAACTAGCAGGAATAGGGACTGTGTGGTGATGGTGGAAATAGTGAGGTAATCCCTGGAGCACAGAAAACACTTGCCTCCTAGGCTGTGATTTGAGTCCACCCTGAGGTGCCTCGGAAGAAACACCTGGTGATCTGATTCTGAAACATTCATCTAGGAAACCCTGTGGACCACAGCTCTGACACACACTGACTTGTCATGAGTAACAGTTGACTCCATGGCAGTGGATATGGTTTTCCTTCTGCCCATAGCTGCCCTGCCTCAGATTCTCTGGGTACAGAATGCTGCTCTTATGATTGACCCAACCCAGACCCCTTTGGGATAGAAATGAGAGGAACACTGGTGGTGCAATAGTTAAGCAGTCAGTTACTGACCAAAAGGTGGAGGATTCAAGCCCACCCGCTTCTCTGAAAGAAATTTGCAGTCAGTTTCCATAAAGACGTGTGCGAACCCCAAGAGGGGAGTTCTACTCTATCCTGCAGAGCCACCAGAGAGATGCCACCATGTGGGATAGCAATGGAAAGCCCTCTAGAGCTCCTCAGCTTATTTTTGTTGCTATTTTGTTGTGGTGGTTGCTTTTGAGTGAAACTGTGCTGTGGGGTTGCTATGAGTCTGAATTGAGTCAATGACAGTGGGTTTGTTTTTGCCCTGGGAATGAGAGGGCAAAAATGAGTGTTAAAAGCCCCAGAAAAGGTGTTCATTTATAGAGATATTTTACAATCCAGCTATTCCTCTTCCCCTGCCCCACCTGCCCTCCATCTATTCCTTTTTGGCTGCTGTTTAAATGCAGGCTCCTGGCATCTGTTTCACTTGCTGCTTTTGGAATGTGTGATTCATATATTCCAGTCCTGCCTGAAGGAGGAGGACATGGGAAATCTCAACAAAAGGCTCTCAGATGACCAGTTTCTCACCCAGTCAGACCAGACACTTTTCCACCCTCTAGATTCTTCACCACCTCAGGAGTATGAAAGCTTGGCCATGGAGCCACTGCCCCTGGTGCTGAAACACAAGAGCCAGGGCTGGTGTCCTGTGGGTCTGAGCAGCGTGGCCCTCACAGTGCTGGGCTTCTTCGTGGACACTGCCACAGGTAATAAAGTATAACCTCCAGCACCTCAACTTCCCTATTGCTCTTTCTAGGGATGCCCAGAATGGTAGGGGTTTAGCAAAAGAGAGGAAGACCCTCAACAAGATGACTAATATGGTGACTATAGCAAGGGCCTTGAGCACGATGGAGATTGTGAGGATGGTGCAGAATCATGTAAGATTTCTAACTGTTACTGGATTTGGAGCTGACTCCATGGCACCTAACAACAACAGTCTAGGGAATAAAGACTAAACAGTGGTTGCTGTTGGTAGGTGTTGTTGAGTACCCTTGTTCACAGTGACCCTATGAACCACAGATCTGAACCCTGCGCCATCCTCATCATCTCTGACATACTTGAGCCCACCCATAGCTGTGGTCACTGTGACAATCCATCTCATTAGGAAACCCATAAAGACCTCATTGTACAAGCACTGTAGAATCATCTTTGCCATTGGCATTTGGCTGGGGTGGCCTTTTTTTCCCAGGAGCACTGGCATGATTGTTGTTATTGTTGTTGTTGATTGCCTTCAAGTCAAGCACAACTCATAGCGACCTTATGAACAAAAGGCCTGAAGGCCCTCGACAACCACCTACATTTATCAAAGTTTATAGAGTTTCTGGAGGCAACTCTATTTTATTTAGGAAGTGGATGCCACTCCTACTTCCTGCCATAGTATGTTATTGTTTTTATATGCCACTGAGTTGTCTACGAGGTATAGCAAACCTATGTACAGCAGCTCTGAACCCTTCTCTGTCCTGAGCCAGTCTCACTAACTCCAACACACCAACCCTCATTGCCCCAGTTACTGTATCAATCTATCTCATCCCGGGTCTCCCCCTCCTGTGCTGTCCATCCACCATTCTGAGCATGATGTCCTTCTCCAGGGACCAGTCTCTCCTGGCCATGTGCCCAAAGTAAATGAGGCAGAGCTTCAAAATTCTAGCCTCCAAGGAAAGACTTGGCTTCAGTCTCTCCAAGACGTTGTTTTCTTGGCAGTCCACAGTATGTTCAAGACTCTTCTCCAGCACCACAACTTAAAAGGCATCTATTCTTCTTCTGTCATCCTTAGTCACTGTCCAACTCTGAAGCATAACATGTAATTAAGAAGATCATGGCCTGAGTGGGGTGCAGCTTTGTATCCAGACTGACATCGTTACTCTTCAGCACTCTGGAGAGCATGATTAGAGATGGGAAATGTGTGGATGGTCTGGGTCTTCAATCCCAGAACTCACCATCTGGCTGTCATGCTTAAACAACCCACCACTAACTGACAAATTCAGCAGTCTGGACTGAAAGAGCTTCTAGAGTTAAAAAAGATCCTTGTCTCTTCAGCTTCTGCTTCCAGGTTCCCTGGAGATCTCCCTGTGGCACCTCAATCTTCCCTAATCCCTGCTTCTTAGCTTGCTTGTTTGATCTCTTTTCTTTCTCAAGAGACTGACTCGCAACACCATAAACAATCTTTTTCTCATTAACATAACAGAGACAGATCATGTTCCAAATGAAATATATGAACAAAGACATTAGGATTTACAATATGCATTTTGGGGGAACCAGTGGTCCCATAACACTGCTCATGAGCTGTTGTTGTTGCTGCTGTGTACCAACTCATTGGAACCAACCCATAGCTGACCCTGCAGTGGATTTTTCTTTTTTTTTCCTATAATTATATTTTATTAATTTTCATAAACATTTACAGAGATTTTGGGTTTCCATTCATTCATTGTTGCACTATTCTCTCTACCCTCCTCCCAGTTTGTTCTTGTCCAAATGCCACAGTGCTTGTCAAAGCCAGTTCTGATTAATCTTCTTTGTCAGTGTGTCCTTTGCCATTCCCTATCACTCCTCCCTGAGAGAGACTTCACCCTGAGTCATAAGGAAAAGGGGATGGCGTATTCTCTTAGCTACTTCCTGCTGAAAAGGGACACTGTGGGTTTCAGGGTGAAGATCTTCTCTCACTACTCTAAAGGGCCCCTTTGGCAGTAGGAAACACATAGACTATTATGGAGATTGATTCTGGAATTTAGATGCAATCTTATTGATTGTGCTTGGCCGTACATGTTCATATCCTTGAAGATGTATCATGGGGGTGTTGCAACCTAGAAGACACAAATTTGACTAACAAGTTATAAGTACATGAGTCCAAAAATTATGGAAAAGTAAAAGAAAAGATTCTTTCATTGTTTTACAAACCCTCCCCCAGGTCCCCTCCACCATGTAGCCCTCGCTCTAGTCTCCTGTGATGACAGAAATACCTAGTTATATATCTCTTTTAAACAGTTTTCTCCCTCCTCTGTTTCAGTGCAGTATACATTATTGAACCCATCTTACTCAGTGTCTCCCTAACCCCATGGTCAGTCCCATTCTACAACAGTGGCATCATGTAATATTTGTCCTTTTGTGACTGGGATATTTCACTCAGCATAATGTTCTCCAGAGTCAACCATTTTGAATAATATTGCATGAGTTCCTTGTTTTTTAATGCAGCATAGTATCCCATTGCCTGCAGTGGATTTTTCAAATGTAGTAATCCCACGGAAGGAGATTGCACATCCTTCTCCCACAGAGCAGCAAGAAGATTCAAACTGTGTGCCTTTAGGATTGCAGCACAGATTCTTACCACTAGGCTACCAGTGCTCCCCTACAATCCACAAAATAATCAGAATGTACTAGAGTCTTTTCACTCATAAACAAAACCCTCATTCCTAGTTCTCCAGATTGCTTAAGACCTGCTCAAGTTGTTATTAATCACCTGTTCTTATAAATATCTATTAGCCAAAAATAAGACAAACTGGGGCAAAACAAGGGCCTCACTCAGGTTTATAAATGCTGTTGTCCATATTTGGTCTTGTTTTATAGGTTGAGGTGGTAAAAATTCCTATCCTTTTCAAGCTGTTTCTGTGCCATAGATTCAGATATGTATCTATAAATAAGAAGACTCTTTTGTGATCATGTATATTGAAGCCAACATAAAAAAAAAGGCACAAAATAGTGAACTTCTGACCCCAAATTATGGAGCCCCAAGGTATGCATTTGAACTGGGCCTCTTTAGAAGAGGAAGTTAGGGGTCGTTATGAAGCTTAGTGTGACAGTATTTTTGTCAGAGAGAAAAGTCAGAACCACTTATCCAATCTGTGCTAGAGAATGTATCCAGTCCTGGCAACATAGTCTTCAAAAGCTGGGCAAGCAGCCACCTCTGCTGCACGTACTCTGTAGAGCAAGGATAGTGCAGAGCCAGTATTCAGCTCCAGATGAACACATCTCCCCTTTCCCCGGGTGGACAAAAGGGAAAGCAGGAGCCGAGCAGTTTTGCTTGCCTTTAATTACCAACAGAACTGGGAATACATTTTTGCTCTCTTGACACTCTTGGAAGTGAGTGAAGAACAAGCACAAACGGCCCGCCTGTGCTGTTGCTGCTGCTGTTGTTAAGTGCTATGTAGTCAGCTCCAACTCACAGTGACCCTGTGGACGCAGAACGGGATGCTGCCTGGTCCTGCACCATCCGCACTGAGCCCATCGTTGAAGCCACTGTATTACTTCATCTTGTTGAGGGTCCTTCCTTCTGGCCCTCTCCTTTACTACTATCCCTTTGCAGGGATTGGCTCCTTCTGCTGGGTGCCCAAAGTGTGTGAGATGAAATCTCACCAGTCTCCCTTCTATGAAGCACTCTGGCTGCCCTTCGTCAAGACAGGTTTGTGTCTTTTTCTGGAAGTCAGTGTTATGTTCAATACTCTAACAGCATCATCATTCAAAGGCATCAATTTTTCTTCCATCTTCTTTCTTTTCTTTGGGCAGCTTTCACATATATAAAAAGGAAATTGAAAATACCGTGGCTTGATTTAAGCATGCCTTAGTCCTCAAAGTGACAGCTTCTCTCCTTACCACACTCAAATGAACCTGTGTAGAAGCTGGCACCAAAAGCGAAGAAGGGAGCCACTACCCCTCCCAAAACCAAAGCCAAAGCAAAGGCATTAAAGGCCAAGAAGGCAGTTCTGAATGGCATCCACAGCCACAAAAAAACAGAAAACAAACAAACAAACAAAAAACCCAACCCACCAAGATCCACACGTCACCCACCTTCCAGGGTCCTAAGGCATGGGGACTCTGAAGACAGCCCAAATACCCCTGGTAGAGCATCCCCAGGAGAAACAAGCTTGCCCACTATGCCATCATCAAGCTTACCATGCCCACTGAGTCAGCCATGAAGGAGAAGAAGATATCAACACATTTGTGTTCATCATGGATGTCAAGGCCAACAAGCACCAAATCAAGCAAGCTGTAAAGAAGCCCTGTGACACTGATGTGGTCAAGGTCAACCTTGATTAGGCCTGATGCAGAGAAGAAAGCTTATGTTCTACTTGCTTCTGACTCTTACGCTTTGGATGTTGCGATCAAAATTGGGATCATCAAAGCTGAGTCCTGTTGGCTAATTCTAAATACAAATTTTCTCACCATAAAAACCCCTATAAATAAATAAAAATAAAATGATCATATGTAGCAAATCATTTGATTTCTCAGCTGCTGTTTCCATGGGCATTGATTGTAGGTCCAAGGAAATTAAGTACTTAACAATTTCAGTCTTTACATTGTTTATTGTAACTTACTGGTCAAGTTGTATGGATTTTTGTTTTCTTTATATTGAGATGTGATCCGTACTGAAGGTCTTTGCTCTTCATCAGTAAGTAATTATACCATAGTCTTTGACATTCATCCATAAGTACTTCAAGTCCTCTTAGCTTTCAGCAAGCATTCTTCATTTTTACATCACAAATTGTCAAGTTAAATAAAATATTTGACAACTTCAATCTTTTCTCCATCAATCATGCTGCTACCTACTAGCCTAATAGTGAGTAATTCTGGTTTCCTTGAGGTTAGGATGTAATCCGTGTTGGAGACTATAGCCTTTGATCTTCTGCAGCAAGTGCTGAAGTTCTCTTCACTTTCTACAAGCAAGGCTGTACAATCTGCATAACACAAGTGGTCAACAAGTCTTCTTCCAATCATGAGACAACATTCGTC